AAATATTACAATCATACCTTCGCTTCCTCCAATTCTGACGAGTAGAAAAGTAAATTTGAAAAAGAAATATTTACCAGTGACAACATCGTTTTAATTATACATTGCGTTGCATAAAATCCAGCGATAAAGATCGAGTGATAAGGAGTAAATTTTTTAATTCTTCGATTGTTCCATCACATGAAGCGCGAATGCAATAAAATGTTCTTTTATTCATCAATGCGTGTTTATTTACGGCGCTGCACTCACATCCATCAGATCCATCGATTCATTTTGTCGATGGATTGATGAAACTTCTGACTGAATACGGTGGACATAATTTCCTAGTCGAAAAATGTTAATAGTTGTGTGTGATTATTACATGAGATACATGGAAACACTCCTAAATTATAATTTAATAAAAAAAATTAATGTAAAGATGAATCTTTTTCTGATTTTTCTTTTGATGCATCATACATCAAAAGTTGATTTAACAACTAACACAGTGACAGTGACAGTGATACAGATTTATTATTAATTAAACGTGTACACACACACACACACACACACACACACATATAAAACACATACAAATTAATAATTTTGTATAAAAAATAATGTCATCGTATTCAGATATTAGATTTTACCGAAATGCGCACCAAATGTATTCTGATTATAAACGCAAAATATACATATCATGTAAAAATAATATACAGGGTGTCTTATAACAGGCTAGAGAGCATTGCCTAGTCGACAAAGGAACTGTTGCCGGCGCGCGGCGAGAGGAAGGACAACGCACCAATGTTGTTGTCCTTACCTCGCCGCTCCTACATTCCGCCGCACCGCGTCTAAGCTCGCGCTGATATGGCCGCTGAATATTCGCGATTACAATTACGAGATTATTTTATGAGGTACCACAGATAGCTCATATTGAATTGTAAATTGTAAAGTTCAAGGTTCAAAAGTTCTTTAATCAAGGAAAACATCGAAAAAAAGAAAGATAGAGAGCGATGAGATCTACAGAGATTCTCATTGTTTTCTATCGCAATCTATCGTTTTGCTGCATCGGATCCGAAAGAAATGATATCGCGTAAAAATAAAGTACGATGAACACTTTTCATCGTATTCTATTGTACTCTATCGTTAGGAGAATATTTAATGATTAGAGTATGATAGAATTCGCGTAGAGACTCATCGTGTCCTATCGTTTTATTCAAGTCTACACGGAAAATATGTTTAGTTGAGTGAACCAATTTTCTGACGACAAGAAACATGTAAAGAAAGCGTCAATCAATCATACATTTATGCATGTCAAAATAACACACTCGGATTTGCGTTGTATCGCGATTATACCTAGGAATCAATTTTATGCCGAGTATCGTTGGTGCACCATTGACAACGATGGTCCTCTTTTCGCAATTGTACGATACAGAACTTTCAGTTTCTTCTGTTGTTAATATACCACTGACAAGAATTATGATATAAGACAACAATTTATGCGTGATACATGGTAAAAATGTTTGGTCCATGATACAGCTTGCAAATGAAATATGAACGATACAGAGATATATTAACTGAAAATATTAACACTCAGTCTAATTCATCAAGGTTTATGGTTAACTTAAACAAAATTGTGTTATTCTCAATCAAAATTTCTTAATCGTTCTTTCTTTCTCTCTCTCATTTCGTCAGAAAATTGGTTCATTCAACGAAACATATTTTCCGTATAGACTTGAATAAAACGATAGGACACGATGAGTCTCTACGCGAATTCTATCATACTCTAATCATTAAATATTCTCCTAACGATAGAGTACAATAGAATACGATGAAAAGTGTTCATCGTACTCTATCTTTACGCGATATCATTTCTTTCGGATCCGATGCAGCAAAACGATAGATTGCGATAGAAAACAATGAGAATCTCTGTAGATCTCATCGCTCTCTATCTCTTTCTCCTTTTCGATGTTTTCCTTGATCAAAGAATTTTTGAACCTTGAACTTTACAATTTACAATTCAATATGAGCTATCTGTGGTCATAAAATAATTTCGTAATTGTAATCGCGAATATTCAACGGTCATATCGGCGCGAGCTTAGACGCGATACGGCGGGATGTAGGAGTGCAACGGTATATTTTATATTTATCTTAACCCGCTCTATGTCTCCACGAGCTTTGCCAGATTTGTTATAAGACACACTGTATATATAACATAAAATGTTTATAATTTCTAATACTAATTTTGTATAGTTTGTAAAATCTAAGTTCCAAAATTACATATATATGTAAATATTAAATTATTGATATTTATCAATCAAGTACACGTACTTATTACTGACTTTAATTAAATCCACTCATCAAACTGTTCTTAAAAATATGCCATCAAATACCCATCGAAGACACTATATTGTTATTTGTTCGGAGAAAATGCGGTGATTAATGCTGAATTAAAAAAAAAACTAAGCTCAACTAAGCTGTCGATTACATAATCCGGTATAAACAAATGCGTTCCAGTTCACAAGCTTAAAACTGATTGAGACGTTTAACTTAACGATATAATGTTTACGGTTGTAATAATACGGAATGCTATCGTTACATTATACGTTAAAGTTATACTCATTGCATAATCAGATATTGAGAATACATTTGGATAATTGTCATAACAGCAAATGAATTTTGCTCGCGAGAAGTTTGCGCTGCGATTGCGTGGGAACGATAACGTCGCGGTTGACAAAAATGTATTTTGAATGTCGGTCATGATTGCTGCAATATTTCATGCTGTTAACGACATCACGCCTGAGCATTGTGAGCGCAATTACATTGCAATTAGCCGCAATTGCTCGGAGAACGGTAAAACTGATGAAGCTCGTGCCCGTTCGTAATTACAGACTTGAAAAATTTTTGGAAGTTCACTACGTTAGAGTTGCAAGAATGTCGGCCGAGGTTGATAGTCCAGCGTTGCATTAAATGCTCTGAATCTTTTCATCCCGTGAGTGCGTATAGATTATATGTTTGTTGGTATAACATTACAATACATTATACCGAAATAATTAATCAATTTTTACTTTGTATTAGCTATACGTTCCAAAATACACACATATGGAAATTCACTAAATGTAAAAACTATTCAATACATTGACCGCTATATATTAGGAGCGCAAAAAAGTTCTGAGCCCTAGATTTCATACTACTGAAATCACAATTTAAATTGCATTAATTTTCCCGCCCTCTTGCGGTTTTAAAGCAGTGACATTTGGTCTTTCGAAACATCGTGAGATTTGGCGTTTGATGCACATAACCTTAAAATCAGCAGTGTTCACGATGGCAATAACAAAAGGTCACATTCGATTTTCCATCCACTTCGCGTTTCATCTGAAGAAAAATGCTGCTGAAGCCACTGAAATGATCTGTGTTGCATATGGAGAGAACGCTGTAAGTTATGCTACGTGTAAAAGGTGGTATCAAAAATTTCGCCAAGGAGATTTCAGTCTTGAAGATGAACCGCGTGCTGGACGCCCTCAAAAGATTGAAACGGACGAACTGCAAGCATTGTTGGATATAAACTCTGCACAAACTGAAAAGGAGCTTGCAGAGCAACTTGGCGTTACGCGACAAGCCATTTCCACACGTTTACACGTGCAATGGGAAAAGTTCAAAAGGAAGATGGGTTCCGCATGCACTGTCCGAAGACAACAAAGATCGACGGCGTGACACGGCACTCACTTTGCTTTCAAGGTTCCGGAAAAAGGATTTTCTGCACCAAATCATTATAGGTGATGAAAAGTGCATACTTTATGATAATCCGAAGCGTAAAAAATCATGGGTTGACCCTGGTCAACCTTCGACATCGACGCCAAAGACCAATATCCACGCCAAGAAGGTTTTGCTTTGCATATGGTGGGAATGGAAAGGTGTATTGTATTACGAGTTGTTACAGCCGGGTGAAACAGTAACGGCAGATCGCTATCAGCAACAATTGAGCAATTTGAGCGATGAGTTTGAAGAAAAGAGGCCATTTACTGGCAAAGGACGTCGTAAAGTGATACTGCTTCATGACAATGCCCGACCACATGTTGCGAAAGACTCAGGACCATATCTTTGCGTTAGGCTGGGAACTTCTCCCGCACGCGGCGTATAGCCCAGACATGGCGCCTTCCGATTACTACCTATTCCGGTCTCTGCAGCATTTCTTGGCTGATACACATTTTGTGACACTTGAAGAGATACGAAAATGTATTGATGACTTTATCGCCTCGAAGCCGGTGAGCTTCTATTATCAGGGAATTCGCAAGCTGCCCGAAAGATGGCAAAAAGTCATCGATGCAAACGGGGAATATTTCGTTGATTAATATAGTTTTGTTTGTTTTTAAATAAATTTTGAATTTTGCAAAAAAAGGCTCAGAACTTTTTTGCGCTCCTAATACAATGCATTGTGTTTGTTGATTGAAGCAATTGTTTTTTCCTTCTTCTTCTATTCTTTTTTATTCAAAAGAATTTCGTCGAAGTGTATTTGTTGAATCGATACAACGTCCTCATTTTCTATAAGTAACTATATCGAAATTCTTGAACTATTGAGTTTGCAAAGTTGATCGATAGAAGATACGCGTCTTCTATAGGTTTAATCATTATTGAATATATATTCAATATTTTTTTCACCGTCATGGACAGCTTAAATTATCCGAGAGGTCAACATTCACCTCAAGACAACATCTACATGATAATTTTCGTGGCATGTGTTAGTGTATATACAATGTCCTCTTCATTATAATATAATGAAATTAAAACCCGTGAAATGAAGCAACTCGTCCGGCAGTTGCTTGGAAAATTTCGAAGCGGCTGGTCGTGTCGAAGAGAAATCAACAAAGGAAGAAAACCAATACCTTCCCAACAACGAACATTATGTTTTAAAATAACTATTTTGGAAAAAAATGATTGAGAAATGAGAGGTACGGATATTTGGACCAAGTAAGAAAAAAAAGCAGAGAAAAAGAACTAATTAAGTGTACAAAGATTATAACAAGAGAATTATAAGCAATATTCGATTTTCATTATGATTGCGCTTCTAAACGAAACAATCAACGGATATTTGTTCCTGAACGACCATTTAGCAGGTTAGAGTTTCACATTATATCACATTTACACGTTCTTTGGCCGTCGGACTTCATCGTGCTTGATTCAATGAGAAACTTATATTGACAGACTTCTGCATATAGCAAGGAATTATAACGGTGGGGCAACATAATTGCTTGACTATTAACCCTTTATATCCTAAATTAATTTACCCAAGACCTTATTAAATTTTTGCGTAATTAAATAACTCTTGACATATCATAAAATAAGAAACAGGAAAATAAATTTTGTAACAGTTTAACGATTAAATTTTGACATGGTACTTGTAAGTACCGACAGGAATGTAGGGTAAGACATGGGAAAAAAGTTCAAGAGCGCATATATAGAGCGGTACTTTGAAGTACCGTCAGGATACAAAGGGTTAAGCTAACAGTTCGAGTACGACTTATACATATGATAAAAAGCTTTTCATCTTCATTCATAATCCACTGTATTGTTTGCCGCGAAGAGTCGTGATGTGCATTATTAAAAAGTAATCAATCGTTTGTTATTTATCGTTTCGCCCAAAGCCAAACGTTTTCGGTGGAACATATATCCAGAGACTGTAACAGCTAATCCAATAACACAGTCTTGCGAGGTACAGTTTTAAGAATGGGCGGGGGTGATTCTTGTAGTTTTTTTTTGCGTTGAAAACGAATCTGACTATGAAATTGCTCCAGCATGTCAGGTTTTTTTGAAATTTTAGCTTAAATGGTCAAAAAATGGCTATTTTAACCATTTTTATGAATTTCTTTTAGAGAACCAAATTTTTTTTTCAATTTTCCACAATTGCATCGCATAGTACTACTATTTAGCTTTAAAATCCGTTTTCCTAAATCATTCTACGATTTTTTAAAGTGAAGATATACAATTTGGAATTCAAGACTTTTAGTCATGCAAAGCCACCCGTTTTGCCGCGCCGAACTTACTGTTTGACAAGTTCTTTATTATTTTGCCTACACAGGAGTTCTTGAGGTCGCTAATTAATTACGAGTCTAATATCACAAATTCAAAATTCAAAATGGCAGATAAAAATGTCAAGAATATTCACCAAATTACGTGAAATTCATCACTTGCGGTTTCTGGGATATCGGATTTAGTAATATACCTTTAGCATTTTGGACTTCTGAGCTGTTCACTACCAAAATAAAAGAAAAACGTTCGGTGAATTACCGGTTTTCATTAAGTAGTGCTGAGTATATGTGAAATTCAAAATATTTTAATAGTTGGTATTCAAATCGTTTTTCAATGAAAATACTCGTTTCGGAAGTTTATCCATCTTTGAAGTGCTATTTTTCCTAGAAACTGTATGAAATAATTCTTCTCACTTAAGATTGATTTGTTTTGTATCTCATTAAGAAAGAAATTTCATTAACGTAAGTTTGGAAACAGTTTGACTACTTACAAAACGCAATAGGTTATTGTTTTTAAAAAGCGCTTGTCTTTTGTTTTGGTGACAGTTCGGAAACAGTTTGTCTGCTTACAATAACGCAATAGATTGATATACATATTTTTAAAAAGCGCTTGTCTTTTGTTTTGTTATAAAAGGGTTAACTACAATTTCTAATATAGATTGAAACGCAAGATTCTAGCAAGCATTTGTTGTTTGTTATTATTTTATTATTGTCATTTGTTTTTGTGTAACGTGGATGCACTTTCTCTGGAATGGGACAGTGAAGTAAATCTACTTTTTCGAATAGTTTTCTGAACAACTCTTTTTATCAGTTCTTTTAAGAACAAAACGTACAGTGAATAAATTCTTTGTTTTTTCTGAACAAAGATGTCAAAACGAGTATGCGTCAATCTTCCCGAGAAATTTTGTTACATATGTGGTAGGTTTGCTACAGAAAAACAAAGGCGGAGAATTACAGAATCAATTTAAATAAACTACCGGAATTACTTTGGTATGGAGATGAATAATCTTGATAAAACATGGGTTCCCAATTCAGCTTGCACTAGTTGCATTTTTACGTTGAATGCATGGTCTAAACATACTGATAAGAGAATACTGTTTTCAATACCCACGATTTGGCGAGAGCCTTGGTCGCATGATGATTATTACTTTTGTTTATGCAAAGTTGACGGCTTTAATATGAAAAATAGGGATCATATAAAGTATCCTGATATGACTTCAGTCTCAAAACCTGCTCTTTACAAAGATAAAAATATCCTTCCATCTCTACCACCTTCCTATGCTACAAAATTCAATGAATCAATTGATGTTCATAATATCAATGAAAGTAATGATGTTGAAATCGATTTACCTTATACAGAAGCCAAATCTGAACGTCAACCTTTTACTCAGAATGACTTAAATGATCTCGTTAGAGATCTGAATCTTACGAAAAGCAATGCTGAACTCCTTGGATCAAGACTAAAGGAAAAGAACTTACTTGCAGAAAATACTACTTTTTATTGGTATAGAAATAGGGAAACAGAATGTCTTGATTTCTTTTCACAGCATGAATCATTGGTGTTTTGCAACAATGTTCCGGGATTATTGAAATATTTGGAAGTTGGAAAACTATAATCCTAATGATTGGAGAGTTTTCATAGATTCATCGAAAAGAAGTTTGAAGGCAGTTTTATTGGATAATGGAAGTCAATATGCTTCTATACCTGTTGCACACTCTGTTCACATGAAAGAGACTTACGACAATATCGCAACCCTATTTAAGTATGTTAAATATGATGAGCATAACTGGTTCATTTGCGGCGATTTGAAAATAATATCAATGATCTTAGGTCAACAGTCTGGGTATACAAAATATCCTTGTTTTCTGTGCATGTGGGATAGCAGGTATAGATCAGAACACTGGACAAGAAAAGTGTGGCCAGTTAGGGAAGAATTGATACCTGGATCACTAAATGTTATCCGTCCTCCTCTTGTACAGCGTTCTAAAATTTTATTACCACCTTTGCATATTAAATTGGGGCTAATAAAACAATTCACTAAAGCTTTAAATCCAGAAGGTGATTGCTTCAAGTATTTGTCTTCGAAATTTCCCTGGTTGAGTGAGGCAAAAATCAAAGAAGGCATTTTTGTTGGTCCCGATATAAGAAAATTAATGAAAGACGAAAATTTTGAAAAAACAATGACACCGGCTGAGAAAGATGCTTGGATTGAATTAAAAAATGTAGTTGAAGGGTTTTTAGGAAACCGAAAAAACTCCAATTATAAAGAAATTGTGCAAAATATGCTGCATGCTTACAAAAATTTGGACTGCAATATGAGCATCAAAGTTAGTTTCTTGAACAGTCATTTGGATTATTTTCCTGAAAATTTAGGCAACATGAGTGACGAACAAGGCGAGAGGTTCCATCAAGACATAAAAGAAATGGAGAAAAGATACCAAGGAAGGCAGGACGTTAACATGTTAGCAGATTACTGTTGATGTCTAAAGCGGGACAATTACAATGCATTTCACAAACGCAGAAGCGAAAAGCACAGCTTCATAGAAACAGAATAAGCCTTTGATAGAATGTGAAATCGACATGTTTTCTATTTTTTGCTTTTGACTCTGTTAGCTGGATCATCTACAGAACTTGCTTTGATTGGTCGGATCTCCTACTGATCTTGCTTTTGCTGGTTAGAACATCTTTCAACCTTCTTTTTGCTGGTCGAAACTTTTTCTAATGTAACTTAAACTGGTCGAATCTTCTACTAATGTAGCCTTAACTGCTCGGATTATCTCCTGATTTTGCCTTTGCTGGTGGGATCTTTTATAGATCTAGCTTTAACTGGTCGGCTTATCTTGCCTTTACTGATTGAATCCTCTTCTCATCTAGCCTTAATTTGTTGGATTTCTTCCGATCTAGCCTTAACTGGCCGGATCTTCTTCTGATTTTGCCTTAATTGGTCGGATATTCTCCTGATCTTGCCTTTGCTGGTTGGATTCCTGTGGTTGGATTCGTAATTAGCGACCACAAGAACCCCGGTGTAGGCAGAATAATAAAGAACTTGTCAAAAAGTAAGTTCGGCGCGGTAAAACGGGTGACTTTGCATGACTAAAATTCTTGAATTAAAAATTGTATATCTTCATTTTAAAAAATCGTAAAATAATTTAGGAAAATGAATTTTAAAGCTAAGTAGTAGTACTATGCGATGCAATTGTGGAAAATTGAAAAAAAGAATTTGGTTCTCTAAAAGAAATTCATAAAAATGGTTAAAATAGCCATTTTTTGACCATTTAAGCTAAAATTTCAAAAAAACCTGACGCGCTGGAGCAATTTCATAGTCAGATTCGTTTTCAGCGCAAAAAATCTACAAGAATCACTCTCACCCATACTTGAAACTGAGAAAACTGAAATTTCGCAGATCTGTGTAATTCAACGATATTTTCTTTATGTTTGGGATCATTGTTCTATTGTAGCATCCATTTTTCGTTTTCTCTTATAAAACACTTTTGGATAGATGATAATAAAGCCTTCTCATGAATTTGGCAACTCTGCCAGTGCGTAAATTGTCTGTCAAGAAATGCAAAGTGCCAAATCCTTGCTTTGAGGTGCAGCCCCAAATGATCCTTGCTTTGAGGTGCAGCCCCGATAAAGGTGTACCTTTATCGGATTTAATGATCCGCTAAATGCGTCTATTGCTGCGGGTATATCAGGTTGGAGTGATAGATATCTGTCCAAAAAAAGCTCCGTAAGAAAAAGAATTACATTGCTTTAATTGCAGCCCATATTTTTTTACGCCCAAGCAATTCTTTCCCCGACGTATTTTTCGGACAGCGGAAGTTTCTTCATTTTGCTTCGATATTTTTCATTATGAGCATGTACACATCTTATTGTTTCACATGATATGTTTATGCCTCTTTTTTTCCTTCAATGTGATTTGTCCACCTCACTACGGTAGACGAGTATTGTCTGCAAATACAATCCGTACAATCAGTGTATCTTCTCTGTCTTTAGTTTTCTGCATAGAGCCTTTCCAGTAAGTCATCGACTATTTTTACTCTTAAGTAGCTATTCATCCACATACTTATAAATGCCTTAGACTTTTTATATACTTAGTAGCAGCAGAGCGCGACATTTTTGGTCCTTTCGAATGTGTATAGTGAAATACGGCATCAAATCGTGATGCGTATGGAAATGTGTCTTACGAAAGTCGAACAAAATAATTGCAGCTTCCTATACAAAGCATCTTAATGAAATTAACCCTCTACCAACTCCTGCTGGAATTTCCCATCTAACGTTCCACGCAAAATTTTTACCGGATACGCTCTTGTTAAATAGATTGTATGTATATATCATAAGAGGTACTTGAAATTATGTTGCTATTTTTTTTACCGATTTTTTATTAGTTATCTTTTTCTGTTTCAAGATCCACGCACCAAAGATTTCTTTCTGATTAACACATTATGGCGGCTGCCACTTTTGGTTATATTATATATGTATAGCATATATGTTCTTCTGCCGAAGTTTATGGAAAAAAGGGAACCCTACAAATTGGACAGAATATTACAAATATATAATGTCTTACAAATTATATTTAACATATATATATTTTATTTGGTAAGCCTAGTTGTGTATTCAAATGCTTTAAAACCTCTGGTTTCTTATTAAGGAGTAACGATAAAAAAAGACATTCTATTACTTAATCATCCAATTATTCAATGGTACAAAAAATACAATCCAATATTTAAAATTCAATATTTATAAAGTTATAGCTTCGACAATGTTGTAAATTTCGTAAACATTTTAGTGCGCTTGAATAAAAGAATGATTTTAAATGTAATATTTAACTTATCTGTGAATCACTCTAAATTGATCATTTTGTTATGTGAGTTATTTGTTATTGAGGTAAAATGTCGCTGATCTACAAATGTCCAAAAAAATTTACACATGTCTTATATTTATACAGGGATTAAATCTGACCTGGTTAAGAGGATACAGCTTTAATTGCGAACCAGTCGATTTCTCTTACACACCAAGAGCAATACAGGTAACTGTAAGAATTCAATTAATTAATTACATACGTATAGAAATTAACAAGATGTATTACATCCCGTCTCTCACTTTGGCTTCCTCTCTTTTTCTTCTGTTCTTCTTTCATCGATGTTAACTCTGCGAAATTTACATTTATGTTTTATAAATAAAACGATATTTAATATACTATAAAGTTATATCATAGTTATGAGACACCTTCACTTTTTTGCGCTTCGTATTAATATAAAAAAAAAAGAAGAAAGGTCACTGAATGACAAAATAATACACATTTTAACCACTTACCAGATTGCCAGATTGGTCTGGTATTACTTCATGCTCAAGATCGCAGATTTGCTGGACACATTCTTCTTTGTACTTAGAAAGAAACAAAATCAAATCAACTTCCTTCACGTATATCACCACTGTGGCATGGTAATAATGCTTTGGATAGGCGTTAAATATTTTCCCGGGGGACACGGTATATTTCTAGGTACGTATAATTGCAATGATAAATATTCTTGCGGAATATTAAAATCTGTATTACATAATATGCCGGAGAAGCATATTTTTTTGGCAAATGCCCTTCTGTTTCTATAAATTTACTTGTATATGAAATATTTCATAGCGGTACCAATCCAACCACCAATCATCGTATATTTTATCGCTATTGTTAATAACAATTACATAACATGCAACTGTAAGAATTTGCATCTTGTGATCCTGTTTATCGATCGGTCGCCAATATTTTCTTTCAGGATTAATCAACACATTTGTTCACTCGATTATGTACACGCACTATCTGTTGTCATCTTTGAAAATAGACACGAAATCATGGAAGAAGCACATCACTCAGCTACAAATGCTGCAATTCTTTATATTGGCGTATCATATCTCCCAATTACTGTGGACGGATTGCGGTTTCCCGCGATGGCCAGCACTGGTGTTGCTGCCGCAACATGTTTTCATGCTTGTATTATTTGCGGAATTTTATTACAACGCGTATATTAAGAAAGAGCCGGCGAGTGCAGCAGCGACGACGAAAACGGAGACGGACAGTGTCTCCACAGAAATCTCGCATGCCAAATTGAAAGAGCGATAAGTTCGCGTGGCGTACTATCCGCTCAATTTGTTTCTGCTATTATTTCTCCATTGTTAATGTATCGATATCAAAGAGTTAAACATTAGTTATTCATGACTTGTGAACTCGCAACGAAGTTATCGCATTTCACGGCAGTTTCCGTTATAACACACAATGTACATCTGTTGTTTAATAAGCCCCGAGACCAACCATGAAACACTTATATTTTTGAACAAAATGGACTTTATTTTTCACTGTAATTTCCTTTTATCTCGATACATTTTGTCTATCTCTTTTCTAGTCCTCTTATTCCGTCAGAAAAGTAGATTGTGTCAAGCCCTGCAAAATACTCGTTTGCAGTTGCAATTATTAGGTGTACAAATGAATAATCCAAATTATTTTAAGCAGATATGAAATCAATTTTAAATTGAATAGATTTTCCCGCTCTTTTGTGATTATGCAATGTTGACATATAGTTATTAAAAAGAACATATAGTTTGGCGAAAGGCCCAACATAACCAAAAAGTATTCAGTTCAATACAGTCGAAAATGGCAACAGATAAGGTGCATATCCGACAATGCATTCTTTACGAATTCCAACGAGGAAAAAATGCTATAAGAGCGTGCGAATCGGTTTGTTCTTTTCTCGGCGAAGGTATTGTATCATACGATGTGTGCGCATTTTGGTTTAAGTGGTTTAAAAGCGGTAATTTCAGTCTAATCGACAAACAACGCCCTGGAGGCTCTCCGAAGTGCGATAATGATGATTTGGAACAGCTGCTCGCTGAGAATTCGGCACAAACACAAAAGAGCTTGCAGAACAGTTGGGAGTAACGCAGCAAACGATTTCCCAACGCCTACATGAGATGGAAAAGATCCAGAAAGAAGGAAATGTGTGCCTAACCGCATGAACTCACTGAAACCAATAAAAATCAACGAGTGCTAGCGTGTATTTCTCTTCTCAATAAGCAGCGACGAAAGTCTTTCTTGTGGAAAATCGTTACGGGCGAAATGAATACTCTATGACAATCCGAAACGCAGAAAGTCATGGGTACATCTCGGCGAATCATCAAAATCGCTTCGGAAAGAAGGTTCTTCTCTGCATTTGGTGGGATATCAAGGTGCTTTATTATGAGTTGTTGAAACTGGGTGAAACAGTTACTGCGGACTGCTACCAACGTCAATTAATCTACTTGAGTCAAGAATTGGAACGAAAACGCCCGTATACTGGCAAAAGAAAACGTCCAGTGAAATTGTTGCATGACAACGCCAGGCCACACTTTGCTTCCAATACAAAAGACACCACAATGAGTCTTGGCTGGGACGTCTTGCAGCACCCGGCGTATTCACCAGACATTACTCCATTCGATTATCACTTATTCCGGTCGATGCAACACGCCTTGTCCGCTATGCACTTCCAATCAGTGGATGAGATCCGAAAATGGTTTGACGACTTTATCGTGTTCAAAGACGAAATATTTTTCCAAGATGGAACTCATCAGCTGACTGAAAGATGGCTTAAAGTTGTAGAAAGCAATGGCGAAAACTTTGATTGAATAATTTAATTTACTTTCGTTTAAAATAAATCTTGAATGTACCTGAAAAAATTAGGTTACTCATTTGTATACCTAATACTTCCCCACTGGTTGTGAATTTTTTTCCATCCAATCATTTCTTCATGTTCTGGTATAAAAAAGTCGCAGGGGCTGAATCAGATGAATATCCTCCCTCAGGGGAGGAGGCTAAGTCGTAGTGTAATTCATTTAAATTCAAGCAAATTCTTAAATAATAAAGCAATTGTCCATGACGATTTACGATAGATATACGAGGTCTGTCCAAAAAGAACATTTTAAAAATCATCTTATTTTCCTAATATACAACTTAACCTGACTTATCTTCTTCAAAATAATGTCCTTCACTGTTGATACATCTTTCTCAACGTTTTTTCCACTGTTGGAATGCATTCTGATATGCGATTTGTGGAACGGCCTTGAGTTCCTCTAGCGACTTTTTTTATTTTATCTATACTCTGACGGCGTCCTTTTAAAGAATTTTTTAGCTTAGGGAACAAAAAGAAGTCAGCAGCTAAATCAGGTGAATATGGAGACTGGGGAATGACAGTCGTGCTGTTTTTTTGCAAGAAATGTCGAATAAAGAGCGCCGAATGCACGGAAACATTATCGTGGTGTAGCATCCATGTTTTGTTCGCCCGCGCTTCAAATCTTTTCTTCCTGATTTCCTCCCTCAAACGCCGCATCACTTACAAATAAATCTCTTTGTTGACAGTTTGATTATGCTGAACATACTCATGACGCACGCAAAAATTGTGACAATACCTAAATACGCACTCACTCAAATCACTGTAGACTGAAAGTGAAAGCACGCAGAATGACGCGGATTTTATTTTAGAACAATTACACCGTAGAACGCCATCCCGCGGGCAAGCAAATATGCAAGCAAATAACGTGTTGGTGCGTAATTTGAAAAGTGCGGTTTCTTTTTGGACAGATCTTTTATGTGGATTGATACGTTGTTCTGATAAAAAAGCACCTTTCTCCTTTTCAAATGCAATAGCTTTTTGTGATTTTTCCGTTGAAAGTCCTAATAATGATATATGATGTATACCAGTGATAGTTTTCCTTTTCTGAGGATAATCGATGAGAAATATGTCATGGGCATCTTAAAAAGCGGTCCCCATGTTTCTGGCCGAATAAAACATCTTCACCTTTTCGTAGCAGATTCGCCTGATGAAATTCATTTCTTAACTGCTGATTGCTCCTTGCTTGCAGGTAGTAGTGAATCTAGGTTTCGTCAACAGGTGAACGAATTAATTGAAAGGATCTTTTGTATTTTTTGTATCCCGCTTCATCGATCCAAAGACTCCTTTGAAATGTTTTGTCGAATGCGTTTTTGGTCCAACGTCACCAAACGCGGCAACCATCGCGCAGTCAAATTTCTCATATCCTAATCTTCATGTAATATTTTAAACATACTACTGTGATCAAAAAATAAGGTGAATTTGTTTATAAAATGAAAAATCTTTATTTATTCTTCCAAATCAATTTCATAGCTTTCAATGTACTCCCCGTCCGACACAATGCACTCATGCCAACGTTTTTTCCAATCCTCGAAACAGTCAGAGAAGTCTTTTTCCGGGATGGCCTTCTTACTTACAATACTTTCTTCGATTTGGCTTTTATCTCCTCAATCGAGTCGAAACGGTGTCCCCGAAGCGGTCTTTTGAGTTTGTTGAACAGCCAGAAGTTGCACGGTGCTAAATCAGGCGAATACGGTGGTTGTGGAACGATATGGGTCGAATTTTTGGCGAAATGTTCTCGAAGAACCAATGCAGTGTGGGACGGTGCATTATCGTGGTGCAGAAACCAAGAATTGTCTGCCCATAATTCTGGTCTCTTGAGGCGAATAGCTTCACGCAAACGACGCATAACACTCAAATAATATTCTTTGTTGCCTAAAAGAAATTCATAGTGCACAATACCGCGATAATCGAAGAAAACTGTCAACATGACCTTGATTTTTGAGCGACTTTGGCGCGGTTTTTTCGGCCTTGGTTCACCTTTTGCACGATATTCGCTGAATTGGTCGGTTGTTTCCGGGTCGTATGCATAAATCCAAGTCTCATCTCCCGTAATGATGCGTTTCATGACGTCCTGGTAGTCAGAAATCATTGTTTCACAGATGTCAACGCGACGTTTTTTCCAAAAAGTTGAGTGTTTTTGGAACCAATCGAGTTTTGACGCATAAAACATCTTTTAAAATGATTTGGGTTGATCCAAATGAAATGCCCGTAGCATCAGCAAGGTCTCTAATTGTCAATCGACGATTTTCGAACAGCAAATCTTTGATTTCCTTGACGTGGCTTTCATCGGTAGATGTTGATGGTCGTCCGGGGCGCTATTCGTCTTGAACTCGTTCTCGGCCTTCTTTGAAGTCTTTGTACCACTTGTAAACATTTTTTTTCGACATAGCCTTATCACCAAAGGCCTTCTGCAACATCCTCAACGTTTCCGCGACAGAATATTCATTCCGCAAACAAAATTTAATGCAAATTCTTTGCTCAACAAAATCAGACATAGTAAAAATCAAAAAACTCACTTTTGTATGTTTACAAAATCACGTATAGTTCTGCAGCAATTGAATATATTGACATAAAACTCTGCATAGATGTCAAGTGCTACCAACCCACCAAGAAACAATTTCATGATTTTATAGTATCCGCGAAGTTTAAATGAAAAATTCACTTTACTTTTTGATCACAGTAGTACGTTCAGAAAATGTGCCTGCGTCATTTACTATTATTCTGACCTTCAGTCTCTGATCATTTAGTACGATATGATGCACTTTGCCGACCATTTCCTGATTGCAGTTTTTGGGCGAACCGAGCGCTCGTCATCAGATATACTTGTAGGCCAGCCTTAAACTCAATCTTTAACTCAATCTTTCACCGTTGAAAATGGAGGAGCAAAATCACCGTAAATAGAATCCAACTCGGTTTTGATTTCTCTTATAGTTTTCCCTTTCAGATTCAAATGTTTAATTACGGAACGAAATTTGATTTTTTCCATCGTTAACTAAACATACTGACGCGCATATTACAACTCATTGCAAAAACTAAACATTGCAATAACTAAACTTAAGGCTAAGCATTTCGGAGCAGTTATTAAAAAAATGTAGTTTTCACATCTTACAACATTTTCCATGCAGTAACGACATCTTCAGGCTCGAAATATTACTAACGACTCACATATCTACATATGGAAGATCACGAAATATGTATAATATTACGCTGACCCTATGCAGAATGTAGTTTGCTTCTTAATTATTGGCTGAGTGCAAAAGTTCGTGCGGAGTTTGTGAGTAAAAGTCACACAGTGATTAGGCAAACAAAAATCTTTATTCAATCAATGATATATTCTCCATCGTTTTCTATAATCTTTTCCCAACGTTCTGGCAGCATACGGATGCCTCGATCATAAAAACTGCGCGGTTTAGATTCGAAGAACGAAGAGATGCCGTTTTTTAAGGCCTCCAAAGAGTCAAAGTTTTTTCCATTTAAATAATTTTGCAATGACCGGAACAAGTGATAGTCAGATGGTGCGATATCAGGAGAATAGGTGGATTCGTTAAGACATCCCATTTCAGGCTCTTCAGTTTGCGCAGCGTCTTTTTCGAAACGTGTGGTCTGGCGTTGTCGTGATGAAAGACGACTCTCTTGCGATTTGACAAAATCGGACGTTTCTCTTTTATTTCTCGATTCAGATTGGTTAATTAGCGACAGTACTTGTCCGAATCAATCGTTTCGCCAGCGGGGAGAAGCTCGAAATAGATTATGCCCTTGCAATCCCACCAAACAGAGAGCATCACCTTCATCGGGTGCAAACTGGCCTTTGGCATTGCGTCACCATGCTCACCTGATTGTTTTCATGTCCGTTTGCGCTGAACATTGTTGTAGAGGACCCATTTCTCATCGCCCGTCACTAGTCGATCTAAAAACGACTCGTTATTGAGCCGCCCGAGTAAAGAAACGGCTGCAGAAATTCGCTTGATTTTGTTCTTCTCGGTCAGCAAATGGGGCACCCATATATCGAGCTTCAAATCGAATCCCATCTTTTTTAAACGCCGAAAAGCTGTTGATCGGTCAACGTTTAGTGCTGTAGCAACTTCTTCTGTTGAAATTCGCGGATTATTGAGCACTAAAGTACGCAAAACATCGTCATCAATGTCAGAAGGTCGACCAGAGCGTGGCTCGTCTTCAAGGTTAAATTCTCCGCGCCGAAATTTAGCAAACCATTTTTCCACAGTTCGTTTAGCTGGTGCTTCATCCTGATAAACATCCTGAATGTTTTTTACGGCTGCGGCAACGTTTATTCCCTTCCGAAACTCGTAAAGCATAACATGCCGTAAATGCACCTTATCGATACTCATTTTTAAAGTGATATTTCTCGAAGCAGTTTGTATGAAAACAAATGATTTTTTTTTAATAACAGCTGAAGACGTCACCTTTCCAACGTTATATAATATGTAGATGGAAGTATTAATGACAACACTTTACGACGCTTATAACTCTATCTATTGAAACTCCGCACGAACTTTTGCACTCACCCAATATATCAAATGCCTTTTTCTCCTCTTTTTCTTTTTTATTTTATTTAAAAGGATTTCACCTAAGTGACATAACGTCGTCATTTCCTGTAACAAGAAACTGTTGGAATTCTGGAACTATTCAATCTACAATGTCGATCAATAGAAAATGAGACGTGTGTTCGTATGAGTAATTAATATTCAATAATTTTTCATCGTCATGGACGGGTTAAGTTATTCGAGAAGTCGACGATTTCCATGAGACAGCATATGATAATTTTGATGCATTGTCAGTGTATATATTTAACGTTCTTCTGATTGTAATACAACGAAGTCAAGACAGAAATTTGATGAGAAGCAACCTGTTCGACAGTTGTTTGAAAAATTGCGAAGTGGCTCGTCGTGTCGAAAAGCATCAGCAAAGAAAGGAAACCAATACTTTTCCAACAACGAACATTGCGTTTTAAGATAACTGTTTTGGGGGGAAAGATAAGAGGTACGGATATTTGGACCAAGGAAGAAATAAAAAAGACAGAGAAAGAGATCCAATTAAGCGTACGAAGATTATAATAAGAAAATTATAAACATTGTTCGATTTTCATCATGACTGCGCTTCCAAACGAAGTGATAAAAGGATACTTATTCCTGAACGACCATTTAGCAGGTTAGAGTTTCAACCATTATATCCATTTTTACGCGTTCTTTGGCTGTCGGTTTTCATTTGTTGAGAAACTTATATTGATGGACTTTCGCATGTAACAAAGAATCATAACGGTAAGGCAACGTAACCGCTTGACCGGTAAGTTAGCAGTTCGGGTACAACTTATACGTACAATAAAGAGTTTCTCGTCTTCATTCATGATCCACTGCACTGTGCACAGCGGAGAGACGTGATGCATCATTATAAAGTAACGAGTCGTCTGCTATCTATCACGTCTAAAACTTTTTAAAAAACATATTATAATACTATATATATTATACTATACTACTAATAATACTAATACTATATATATATTATAATACTATAAGCAAGAAAAATTCGCGGCCTTTAAAATTAAAACAGACTATATTTACAATAGCTTGTTATTTTTCATGCAAATATTGATAAATGCGTCATGTTTGCTTTGCCATATGCACCACAGCCGAATACGCATTTTAATTCAATGAAATCAGAATATATCTCTGATCACATAATACTGATGACATAATACTCGTGTACGAGTAAATTACGTATTAGGTGTACTTTGCAACTTTGCTTCCGCCGTTTTCCTATAAATGGCTTTAGCGGTAAGTAATGTTCGAAATAAATAGATCATAGACGTCGTGCAATAAACTTGGCAATAAATCTGCGGCTGAGGCTCATCGAATGCTCTTAAATACTTATGGTGAGGCCGCTATTAGTGAAAGAGCGTGTCGTGAGTGGTTTCAACGCTTCAAGAACGGTGATTTTCACGTCGAAGACCGGCATAGTGATGGAAGAGAGAAGGTTTTCGAAGATGCAGAATTGGAGGCATTACTTAATGAAGACTCGTGTCAATGTCAAGAAGAATTGGCACGATCATTGGGAGTGACTCAAGAAGCAATTTCAAAACGCCTCAAAGACATGGGAATGATTCAGAAGCAAGGAAATTGGGTGCCGTACGAGTTGAAAGCGAGAGATGTTGAACGACGTTTGTTTGCATGTGAATAGTTGCTTGAAAGGCAAAGACGGAAGGGATTTCTGCATCGCATTATGACTGGGGACGAAAAATGGGTTCATTACGATAATCCCAAGCGCAGAAAATCATGGGCACATCCCGGCCATGCTTCCACGTCGACGGCCAAATCGAATATTCACGGCTCCAAAGTCATGCTCTGCATTTGGTGGGACCAGTGCTCGGCGTAGTGTATTATGAGCTGTTAAAACCGACTGAAACAATCACAGGCGATCGTTATCGAACGCAATTAATGCGTTTGAGCCGAGCATTGAAAGACAAACGGCCACAATACAACGAGAGACACGATAAAGTGATTTTGTAGTGTTACGTCCTGCAGGAGGAACGCAACTTGACGCTTGCTTTCGCAAGCTTCGACGTACTCGCAAATCTGCGGAACAGATCATGGATCGGAATGATCCCTTTATCTGGCGCAGACGTACGTCGGTGGTCCTTTATTTAGGTCAAGGAACTGAATCCTTTTACCTGGGATAGGACCGTGAGCGACAGTTGAGGGAAGGGAGAATTTTTGGTTGAGAATAATTATTTGGAAAACGTGATTGGTTTACAATTACAAACAACTTGTTTTATTAGTGATTAGACGGAAGTTCACAATGAAATAAAATTTGTAAGATTTTATAATGTGTCCGTATACATATGTGGTTAACAATCGGGCTCAGAACAATGATTCTCGATTACTCAGAACAATATTCCGTGTTCGTTATGTCCGACTGTGATCGAAAGGATTGGGCCACTGACGTCTGATTTAACAATTAAGGAGGAATGCCAAGGAGGATAGAAAACGGAAGTAAAACGAAAGGAAAAGAAAAGAGAGAGAAGAAAAGATAAAAAAATGAAACGAAAGAGGTCACTCAGGTAAAAGAAAATATAAGCAACTTACTGCTGGACTTCTCTGATCTTAGTAGACAATGAAAGGTGTGGTTGCTGCGTCTCTGTGAGGATAGATGCCTCAAGTTCTGCGCCAAGGACAGGCAGCTGGTTTCGGCAGGATCGCTCTCAATGGCCCAAGAAGGCACAAGATCGTTACACCGAATAATTAACAAGTGAAGAATATTGGTCGGTCTAAGCCACAAGTTGGCTTGATTGTTAAGAAACCCTGAAGGGGTGCTGGAGAGAAGCGTCTATCCTGGGTGCTGGATCGGCGAGAAATGAGTGAGGCTTTTGACTTTTCTCAAAAAGTCAGCTCGGTTGAGAGAGTGGGGTTTTGGGGGAAATGTTCCAGAAGATTATTTTATAGGAGATAAAATGCATGTGGCAATAAGAGGATTTCGAAAGTCTTTTGTAAATAAAAAAAACGTGGCAGCTATCTTAAGAAGTACATATCGATATTTCTAAGAACGATGTCGTGGTACTATTATCAATGGTTAAGCGCGTGGAAAACAGGATAGGAGTTGATTCAAGATTGTTAGTATTTTCGGGGTATCGAAAATTCCAGAGATATCGTCGTGTGGTATCATGCCTGAGCGCATTCGGCCATATGATAAGTAATCATAAATTCGATTTCCCTTATTTATAAAAGAAGTCTAGGGTCCGCTGAGTCAGCAGGACGTAACAGTAGCATGACAATGCTCGACCCCATGTTGCGAGAATGGTCAAGTCATACTTGAAAACGTTGAAATGGGAAGTCCTACCCCACCCGCCGTATTCTCCAGACGTTGCTCCCTCTGACTATCACTTGTTTCGATCAATGGCACACGGCCTGATTGACCAGCATTTCCGGTCTTATGAAGAAGTAAGAAATTGCATGGATTCGTGGATCGCTTCAAAAGATGACCAGTTTTTTCAACGCGGGATTCGTACGCTGGTCGAAAGATGGGAGAAAGTAGTGGTCAGCGATGGACAATACTTTGAGTCATAAATGTATAACCAGTTTTTTATAATAAAGCCTCGAATTTCGGAAAAAAACGGCTGAAGCAAAGTTGTACACCTAATATATACAAAAAAGTATATCAAGCTGAACAAGATCTCGGTACACCCAAGCAATTCTTTTCTCGACGTGTTTTTCAGACAGCGGAAGTTTCTTCACTTTGCTTCGATATTTTTCATTATGTGCACGTATACATCTTATTGTGTCACATGACATATGATTTAGCCCTTTTTTCTTCGATACGGCTTCAATTCACGTCACTATGATATTGTCTACAAATATTCGTACAATCAGTGCATCTACTGTCCGTCGTTATCTGCATAGAATTACGTTCCGGGAAATCATCGACTTTTTTCACCTCAATAAGTAGCGGTTGGCCCCCTCACTTATAAATATTTTAAACTTTTTCATATACTTAATAACAGCAAAGCACGACATTTTTGGTCTTTCAGGATGTATACAAAAAAAACAAATCATCAAAACGCTATGCGTATGCACGCATCACGAAATATATGTCTTTTTTTCACGAAGGTCGGACAACAATTGAAGCTTTCTATTCCAAACATCTTAATAAAATTATCCCACTATTAACTCTTTGGAATTTCGCGTGTAGCAGTTTCCATGTAAAAGTTTAAGTGGACAAAATTTTATCAAACAGACTATATGTATATACGCATAATTGTAAGACATACTTGTAATCATATTGCTATTTTTTACTGATTTTTTATTAGTAATTTTTTTCTGTTTCAAGATCCACGTACAAAAGATTTCTTTCTGGTTGACACACTATGGCGGCTCCCACTTTTGATTATATTCTACATGTATAGCATATATGTTCTTCTGCCGAAGTTTATGGAAAAAAGGGTACCGTACAAGTTGAACAGAATATTACAGATATATAATGTCTTACAAATTATATTTAACATGTACTTATTTTATATGGTAAGTTGTAAATTTAAGTACTCTTAAACTTTCGATTTCTCACTAAAGTAAAGATGAAAAGAGGACATTCTGTCACTTAATCATCAAATTATTCGATGTACAGAAAATACCAAACGCTAACATGTAAAAAGTCATAACTTCGGTCATGTTGTTAATTTCGTAAACTTTTTGATACGCTTAAAGGAAAGAATGCTTCTAAATGTAATATTTAACATTGTACCTGAATTATCCTAAATTGATCATTTTATTATATAAATGGGGCGAGCAAAATGACACTGGTCTATAAAAGTCTAAAAAGATTTACAGACATTTTATATTTACACAGCTATTAAATACAGCTTGGTTAAGGGGATACAATTTTAATTGCGAACCTGTCGATTACTCGTATACACCAAATGCAATACAGGTAATTGTAAGAAATTAATTAATTACATATGTACAGAAATTAGCAGGATGTGTTACACCCCGTCTCTCATACTTTGCCTTACTCTCTTTCTGTTCTGATCTTCTTTCACCGATGCTAATTCTGCGAAATTTGTACTTACATTTTGTAAATAAGACGATATTTAGTATATTATATAGTTATATCATAGCCATGAGAAATCTTTATTTTTCTGCGCTTCGTATTAAAAAAAGAAGAAAGGTTACTGAATGACAAAACAATACACAATTTAACCACTTACCAGATTGCCAGATTGGTGTGGTATTACTTCATGCTCAAGATCGCAGATCTGCTGGAGACATTCTTCTTTGTACTTAGAAAGAAACAAAGTCAAGTCAACTTCCTTCACGTATATCACCACTGTGGCATGGTAATAGCGGTTTGGACTGCCCTTAAATATTATCCCGGTGGTCACGGTACATTTATAGGTACGTATAATTGCAATGATAAATGTACTCGCGGAATATTAAGATCTGTATTACGTAATATGCTGGAGAAACAAATTTTTTTGGCAAATGCCCTTCATCTTTTATAAATTCACTTGTATATGAAGTATTTCACGGCGACACCAATCCAACATTCTCGTATAATTTATTACTGTGATTAACAACCATTTTATAACATGCAGCCGTGGGAATTTGCATCTCATTATGTTTTTTGATCGATCGTTAATATTTTCTTTCAGGAGTAATCAACACACTCGTTCATTCGATTATGTACACGCACTATTTGTTGTCATCTATGAAAATAGACACGAAATCATGGAAGAAGCATATCACTCAGCTACAAATGCTGCAATTCTTTATATTGGCGTATCACACTTCTCAATTACTGTGGATGGATTGCGGTTACCCGCTATGGCCAGCACTGGTGTTGCTGCCGCAACAAGTTTTCATGCTTGTATTATTTGCGGACTTTTACTACTACGCGTACAGTAAGAAGAAGCCGACAAGTACAGTAGCGACGACGAAAATGGAGATGGACGGCGTCCCCGCGAAAATCTCAAGTGGCAAATTGAAAGAGCGATAATTTCGCGTGGCGTATTATCCGCTCGATTTGTCTCTGTTATTATATTTTTATTTTTAATGTATCGGTATCAAATTGTTAAATGTTAGTCCTTTATTACTTATGAACTCGCAATGAAGTTATCGCATTTCACAACAGTTTCGCTCACAATATACAATGTACATCGGCTGTTTGATTAATCACGAATCTAACAATAAAGAACTTACGGTTTTGGACAAAATGGATTTTTTTTCACTATAGTTTTCTTTTATCTCGATACATTTTGTCGATCTCTCTTCTAGTCCTCTCATTCCGACAGCGAAATAGATTAGGTCAAGCCCTGCAAAATATTCATTTACTGTTGCAATTGCTTCTCTGTTGATTGCGAATTTTTCTCATCTAGCCATTTCTTTGTGTTCTAATAAAAAAGCCGCATAGGCTAGATCAAACGAATAGTGGAGGGAAGACAAGTCATTTCATTCAAAGCAAGTTTTTAAGTAATAAAGCAATTTGGTCATGATGATTGCATATGTGTGAATTAGTATTAGTGTTATTGTATATGAATTAGTATATTTAGTATATTATTATATAGAATTAGTATATTAGTATGTTCTGATATTCTAATAATGAAGCATGATGTGTAACAGTGACAGTTTTTTTTTTCAAAAATAATCGATGAGACATATGTCATGGCCATTTCACAAAACAATCCCCATAATGTTTCTGGCCGAATGAAACTCTACTTTTTTGCGCTTCGTATCAATATGAAGAAAGAAGGAAGGTCACTAGTAGTAAAGGAATACGGTCTCTAACTCAAATTGCAAAATCTTTAAGTAAAATTGGATGTTAATTGATTAAATTTTTTTATCGATAACTCTTTCCGCAAAATCTTTTTTATTGCTTCTATGGGCAAGATGATGACCATGACTTCACGCATACGTCAAGAGAAAATGTATATCAGGAGACGATGCGAGACTCGAACCCGGACTCTCGGGGTTCCTATTATGCAACGGTTCGACTACCTGGATCACGTTAATAGACAATTGTTAGCGGGACGCATAGCGAAAGCTTCTCACAACGTGTGTGTGATGACGCATACGTCAAAAGAAAATGTACGTCAGGACGAAGCCAGACTCGAACCCGGGGTTACTATGCGACGGTCTAACCATTCAGACCAACGTGGACTGTTGCTAGTGGATGCATAGTAAAGCTTCACAAACGGTGCATGAGGTCACTACGTCACGACAAGAGAGGAGGTAAACAAAATCATAAGTATCTCTTTTTAATTTTATTTTATTTTATGTATAAACAAATTAAAATGGTTATATATTGGGAATACAAATTAGTTCGGTCCGTTCTTTGTGTTAAAAGATGTATTTATTTCAAAACAAAATGAATGAACAGAATGAACAGATAAATTAAAGTATTTATCATCGCTGGCTACTACTTTCTCCCATTTCTCAGGCAATTTTCGAAATCCATCTTGAAAAAATGACTCGTCTTTTGAGGCCTTCCAAGTTTGGAGCTAATTTTCGATATCTGCGAAAGAAGTGAACCGGTGACCTGCCAAATCGTGCTGCATCCTTCGGAACAACTAGTAATCAGAAGGAGTAATGTCCGGAGAATACGGCGGGTGCGGTAAAACATCCCATTTGAGCGTTTCCAAATATTTTTTTACGACTTTTGGCTTTTTACGACATGAGGCCGAGCGTTGTCATGAAGAACGCCTTTCAACGTCTCTCGGTTTCAGTTCATAAGGCACGCAATTTCCTTGTTTTTGAATAATTCCCATGTCCCAATCGTACGAAAACGGTTTGTTGAGTCACTCTCAATGATTCTGCAAGCTCCTCTTGCGTTTGACTCTGATCTTCTTCGAGTAATGCCTCTAATTCTTTGTCCTCGAATTTTTTTGACTGTCCAGAGTGAGGCTTGTCTTCGACGCTGAAATCTCCATCCTTGAAACGTCGAAACCATTCCCTACATGATTTATCATTTGGAGCAGCGTCACCATAAACTTTAACAAGCATTCGATGGGCTTCAGCTGCACTTTTCTTCCAATTAAAGCAGAAAATTAAAACCTCCCGCAAATGCTGCTTGGTTAACACAAAATTCGACATTTTCAACACTGTAAGAAGCAAGGTTTTATATGAAACTCAAAGCGATATAAACTGAATATTATTGGTAGATGTCTAACCTCTCTGAAACCGCCAAAATCGGCAGTCACTATAAACCATTCATAACAGCCGGAGCCATCTTTTGAAAACGGACCGAACTAATTTGTACACCCAATAACTTCTCCCGTTAACGTGAAAGTTGCCTCGTATGTAAAACCAATTTGATAAGGGAACATGGGCCGAACATGGTGCCATCATTCTTTCACAGAAATCTATACGAAGCTCCACATCTCCGTCTTGCAATTCTTGGACATATTGTAATTTGTATGGATGGAACTTGTTTTTCCTTTAAAATTCTCCAAACAGACTTGGGAGCAATATTATGAGTTTGAGCGGCTCTGTTAATAGTAGAATTGGGACTTTCAATAGATATTTGCAGAACATCTAGTTGTTTTTTTTCGTTAACGGCAGGTTTCTCTGATTAGGGCGATTGTTTGCGCTACCAGTTTCTCTGAAACGTTCCATTGTTTTTAGGACAGTGGACTTATTAATTCGACGATTCGGATACGTCTCATCAAATAATTGAGCGACAGCAGCGTACGACCGTTCGTTATCACCCCATCCCACGCATCATGAGGATAGTGATTTTTTCACGTTCCGACAATTCGCTAGCCATTTTTAAAACGTTTAATTTTTAATCTGCCTAAGATCTGTGAGAACTGATTTTAAGTAGCCGTGAAAACAACTGATTTTAAGTAGCTGTGAGAACAACTGATTTTAAGTAGCAGTGAGAACAACTGATTTTAAGTAGCCATGAGAACAACTGATTTTAAGTAGCCGTGAGAACAACTGATTTTAAGTAGCTGTGGAGAACAACTGATTTTAAGTAGCAGTGAGAACAACTGATTTAAGTAGCCGGTTGATCCTGGATAACACTAAGTGCATGAAATTTTGAAATTTAAACGGCCGCCATTTTTAATGGGGGGAGGTCGTAGCGACTTAAAATTTTAAGGGTGTGTTTGTTATGAAAAGACCTTTCAAATGAGCCCCCATTCGATCCTTAGTCCAATTAAAAATTTTCAACCCCCTTTTATCCCCGCGTACAAGGGGGTGGAGAATGATCGGTATCCAAGCTTTCTTGAAAAATCAAAATACATGTTTTACCGTTTTTTGATATTTTCATTTTTACAAAAATTATTTAAGGGTTTCCACACTTTTGACAAACCCTGTATGTAAAATGGTTGGTATTCGACAATTCGCATAATTCATGGATACAAAGGCATAATATATTGTAAAAATGAATACAGTTTTATTATAACATTTGATGACATACTTAATTGTAAAATAGCTAATAAAACAAATAAACGACATAATGGTATACTATAATGTCCCCATGGTAACGTATTTATCGAGTCAAACACAATTTATTCCCTCTGGTCTTGTCCAGATGGATTAACTATGTAGTTTATCCTTTCTTACCTACATCGTCAACAGAGTTCAAATAAAAAAAGGCGCCCCCCGCGCCTTGTCGCATCCTGCCTGCCCAGTAGCGCTGCGCGCGCTTTGTCGCGCCCTGCGCCGCCACGCGCGCTGTAACCTCATTGTGTTTTCTCTTCTTACAGAGTCAAGTGAGTTCAAGTTTCCGCGCTTATTTTATACTTTTCCAATTTTCTCGACATGATGAAGCATCGGAAAGACCGATCCCCACGTTCTTCACTAAAGAGCCGACGTAAGCACCGGGAGCGGTCCTCTAGCAGGCGATCAGGTTCTCGATCGCTCTCAAGATCGCGACTTAACCTCTCTCGCCAGTCGCCGCACCACTTGAGAGAGAGAGTATTCAGTGACGCGTTCACCATCTTGTGACCGAATCTTACACACACTAAGCGAGTTTATGGATTATTGGAAGCATCGGAGGTCCCCGGCACCCAGCGAGGTGTCGGAGGACGGGGAGAGACCAACGATTCTACCTCCGCCACTAGATCACACGTTGTCCTCGGAAAAGTCCGGCGAGGCTTCTGCCGAGATATACGTTGAGCATAGGGCCTTCAGGGGCCAGGATGGCGATCCAGGTATGTCCCCGTATTGGCTTCTCGCCACGAATAGCGACACAAAAGGGATATAAACATCTGCTCTCTTTCCATCGCATTTCCAGTACACTCTCCTTTTCTTTTAGGACAGGTCTCATCTCCACCTAATAATGTTTCCTTCTCTACACCAGTGATCACAGCAACGCTTGAAGAAAACCTGCCTGATATAGAGGAGACTGAACCGAATGGCCTTGCTTCCGAATTATTCGGAGAACAATCTCGCCCACCTGTTGCAGCTATTTGGTCGCAAATTATTTTAAACACGACCAAGTCAGAGGTCCGCACAGGTCTTAAAGAAGAATTACGCAACACCTTCCTTTGAAATGTTTTGTCGAATGTATTTTTGGTCCAACATCAGCAAATGCGGCAACCATCATGCAGTCAAATTTCTCATATCCTAATCTTCATGTAATATTTTAAACATACGTTCAGAAAATGTGCCTGCGTCATTTACTATTATTCTGACCTTCAATCTCTGATCATTTAGTACGATATGATGCACTTTGCCGACCATTTCCTGATTGCAGTTTTTGGGCGAACCGAGCGCTCGTCATCAGATATACTTGTAGGCCAGCCTTAAACTCGGGTAACTCAATCTTTCACCGTTGAAAATGAAGGAGCAAAATCACGTAAAATCCAACTTGGTTTTGATTTCTCTTATGGTTTTCCCTTTCAGATTCAAATGTTTAATTACGGAACGAAATTGATTTTTTCCATCGTTAACTAAACATACTGACACGCATATTACAACTCATTGCAAAAACTAAACATTGCAATAACTAAACTTAGGGCTAAGCATTACGGAGCAGTTATTTAAAAAATGTAGTTTTCACATCTTACAACATTTTCCACGCAGTAACGACATCTTCATGTTCAGGCTTGAAACATTACAAACGACTCACGTATGTACGGTCATGGACATAAAGGTTGTCACTTTTTTTTAATGACTTTCGGGACGCATCCCAACTCGAGAAAGATGAGAGCTGCTGCTCCGCCTGCGGAGCACGCCTACGCAGTAACTCACTACGAAAGACGAGAAATGAAATATACGTGGTATGACATAAGTATGTCAACAATTATTGCATTCAGCAGAGAAAACCGCTCAGTGAGCGATTAGTGACTAAATAAATTCGATTTCACTTAAAATTTAATATACATACCTGTTCCTGTTCAATACCTTGCAAAAGACGCATTCCCATTTGAATGACTTACACTATGTATCTATCCCTCCGCTGCTGATTTTTCAAAATGTAAGAATTGGGTGCGTTCACGACACTCAACGGTTGAGCAACTGTTGAATAATTTGTCAACGTTATTGGTCCGAATGTAAGGATCTAACAGTAAGGACCAATAGTCACTAATCGCTCACTGAGCGGTTTTTCTCCGGTAAACGCAAATGATTGTTGACATACTTATGTCATACCATATATTTCATTCCTCGCCTTTCGTTGTGAGTTTACAGCGCAGGCGTGCTCCGCAGGCGGAGCAGCAGCTCTCATCTTTCTCAAGTCGGGATGCGTCCCGAAAGTCATTAGAAAAAAAAGTGACAACCTTTATGTCCGCGACCGTACATATGGAAGATCACGAAATGTGTATAATGTTACGTTGACCCTATGCAGAATGTAGTTTGCTTCTTAATTATATCAATTACCTTTTTCTCCTCTCTTTCTTCTTTATTTTATTTAAAAGGATTTCACCTAGTGACATAACGTCGTCATTTCCTGCAACAAGAAACTGTGTTGGAAATCTTTAACTATTCAATCTACAAAGTTGATCAATAGAAAATGAGACGTGCGTTCGTATGAATATTTAATATTCAATACTTTTTCATCGTCATGGACGGGTTAAGTTATTCGAGAAGTCGACGATTTCCATGAGACCGCATATGATAATTTTCATGCACGCGTCAGTGTACATATTTAACATTCTCCTCATTGTAATATAATGAAGTCAAGAGAGAAATTTGATGAGAAGCAACCTGTCCGACAGTTGTTTGAAAAATTGCGAAGTAGCTCGTCGTGTCGAAGANTTACCATTTTGTTCTTTATTAAATAAGACAAAATTAATATTCTGCTTCAGTTTAATAGTTGTAATTTCAGAAGTTATCATAAATACTGATCATGTAAGGCAAAGGATTGTATAAAGTATAAGTTGTCGTATCATCCACGTGGATTTTCTCATGTCGACACTACCAGTGATATTTAATCTGACTGTATTATTTGAAGATTGTGAAAAACATTTAACAGGATAATATCTTTGACTTAACCACGTATCCATAATTTCACTAATTCTAACAATTTTTATTGGTTTCTGTCATCAAGTATATGTTGTAAAGTGATCCAGAGATTATCAGGAGTGGCAGAACGAAACTTACTATAAAGAGAAAAGTTCAACGTTGCGTGTATGTGTGCGTGCACGTGTATATGTTTATGTTATTAATAATTTATGAATTTTACAATACGAAACACATTTTTACTTAACCACGTGTTCAGTTTAGCTTTTTAACGTAAATGCATAAATATATCAAAATTCTACGTAATAAATAATATGCCTCTCTTAAGCCCGATTAATTAATTAATACATAAACACATAGATTTGAAATAGTATAAATTCTCTCGTACATATAGTTATCTTTCACAGGCAACACCTAATAGCGAAGTACGTATTATATAATGATACTACAAAGTGTTACTTACAATTCGCCCAAATATTTTTTGACAGCTAGTTGAAACTTATCTCGTGTGATTATATACTCTATCATACGTAAAAGAGCGAGACCTGTAAATAAAACAGAACGATGTATATAACAAGTTTATTTGGTTTACATAGAGTAAGGACCAAGTCTCATAATTTATATGGTATTTTCTTCCAACGATAAATGAATATTTTTTTTTTAAATCTCCAGTTAAACACTAACCTTTATTATAATACCAACGAGAACAGAGGCCAACATCGATTTCATCCGCGACTCGTACATCATATTCGGAAAGAGCTCTCATCTGACAGTTAATTTCATACTGAAATGTTAATTGAAGAATTTGGATTGCATAGAGATCCACTAATTGAACCGATAAACTAAGTGAACCGATGAAAATCTAGAATAAATCATTCTGATATAACTAAAATATACGCTAGTGCACAAATTAACATTATGCAAATGTACTCCAGCAAACATAAATATAACGGTTATATTATTGTAATATAACGAATATAATTTTGACGTTATATTATATAAGTTAACGTATTATATAATTTGAACATTATATAATATAATAAGTAAATTGCAAACAAATTACAAAAGTATAAGTTACACATACATACACTCATATTAGTAAATAAATAAGTTATAATACATGTACATTAGATGTAATTATCCACTCATATAAAATTGCAGTTATGTAACATACAAATAACATGTTACTAAAATATTACAGGATAGTTATTGTATATAACGAGACCGTAACTTATATATAACAGTTATATATAACAGTTATGTTATGAGGTTTCAAGCAAAAGTTATATGGCTGAAATATAAAAATTATACAAAATATATGACGAAAACCCTTACACCTGTCATGCTTACAAAATTAAATATTTGTTGTGCTATTAATTCTTTCCACATTAGCAGTAGCGGTATTCCATATACAATGAGGTTTGTACATGATTGAAAAACGATTAGAAAAATTAAGAAATGTCTTCAATACCGATCATTTGCCTTTAAATTCAAAAGTATCTCGCCCTCTAATAATGCTGATAGATATATATTAACCTCGTTCATGATATAATGACTGTAAAGCTTCGATAGTGTTTCGCCTATCCACAGGTCGGCCCACCGAGACTGAGTAACCACTGCTGTAAACGGCTGACGTGCCATTTGGTGCGAAATGACTTCGCCGATATGAGCCTTGCGGCCAGGGAAATCGATATCTTTATCATATGGAACATCCTTTTCACTATAAATTGTGAATTCATATGATCAGGTGATGACATGTATAATAGAAATGGCAGTATGCTTTTCTACAATTTAGCTCTTTCATAAATTACACTAACGTATAAAGTTAATTTAAAAGTTCTAATAACGAATTAAACACTGCATGATAATAACATCTATTTTATTATTAGGTGTGTGAATTAATTCGGTCTATCTGGCGGTCAATTGCTGTACTATGTAATTTTCTAACCTATAATGTCTGCAAAAGGCTTTATTCTTTAGTTTTGATATCTGGCAATAATATTCAGTTGATAAACGTTTGGGTTTGTAATAATAACATCGTGTTTATCTAATTCGAAAATGTCGAAATTCGAGCCAAAAAAGCATCATCTCCGGGAAGTTCTCATTTTCTGTTTTCATTTGAAGAAAACAGCCGCTTTAATTCATCGAATGCTCGTAGAAGCTTATGGTGAAAGTGCTCTCACCGATAAATCATGCAGAGAATGGTTTCGACGTTTCAAAAGTGATGATTTCAGTGTCGATGACAAATCTCGTCCAGGTCAGCCGAAGAAGTTTGAGAACGAGGAAGTGCCGGCGCTAATCGATGAAGATCCGTGTCAATCGCAATATGAGCTCGCGCAATTGTTGAATATTGATCGATCAACAATTTCTGTGCGTTTGGCAGCCATGAAAAAGATTAACAAAGAAGGAAGATGGGTGCCATACGAACTGAAAGAAAAAGACATCGAGAGGTGAAAAGCCATGTCTGAAATTTTGCTTGCCAGGCAAAAAAGAAAAGGTTTCTTGCATCATATTGTGACTAGAGAAGAAAAGTGGATATATTTCGATAATCCCAAACGGAGGAAATCCATTAGCGACCCATGAAAACCATCCACATCGATACCCAAGCGGAATATTCACGGCAAGAAAGTAATGCCCTGTATATGGTGAGGCCAAAAGGGTCTACACCCTACACTACTGTATCATGAACTATTAAAACAGAGCCAAACCATTACTGCCGAACTTTACCAACAACAACTGATCCATTTAAACAACGCATTGAAGAATAAGCGGCCGGAATATGCAAAGAGACACGACAAAGTGATCTTCCAGCACGATAACGCTCGGCCACATGTTGGAAAGATTGTGAAGGCCACATTGGAAGCACTTGGCTGAGACGTTTTACCTCACCTGCCGTATTCATCAGACATTGCTCTATCCGATTATCACTTATTCAGATCGATGGCACACGGACTTTCGGACCAGCACTTCAACAATTATGAAGAAATAGAGAAATGGCTCAATGAATGGATCGCTTCGAAGGACGAGTCGTTTTTCCATCACAGAATACAACAACTGCCAGACAGATGGGAAAAAATAATAGCAAGCGATGGCAAATACTTTGATTAGTATACTTTTTTATGTTTTTTTATACTAAAGTCTTTTTTTGGAAGAAAAAAACGAACCGAATTAATTCACATGTCTAATATATACCTATATATTATAAGACCAAAACATCCCATTGAATTTATTGTATTATTTGGGAACACTATGTGATCCCTCTTAGGCAATACATCGGTTAATTCCGTAAAGAATGTTAAGTAACGATCGACAGTTGCAATTATACTCGTTGCATCTTGTAGCATCTTCTTTTGCGACATGTGCCAAATGGTGTCACTCTTAGATATTTCACTCTTTGTATGATTATCGTTGTCTTCAAGCAGAGCAATGAACACATTGGAAGGAGATATCGAAGGCGTATCACTAAAATACGTCTTGTTAAAGTAGAAGTCAAACTTTTCTGTGAATATTTCGGGTACATTCGAGAAAACTTTAAAATGCTTAGGATATACTGTAGATATGTTGAAAATTGCCTTTAATCCGGGCTCATCCCAACATGGAAACACTCTCCGAGCCATGTTAGGTTGCATGATGACTAACCTATCGTTAGAACATATTGTAAACATAAAATATTTTAACCATTCTATAACATAAAAGATGTGGAAAAGAGTTTTCTACATATATGGATAAATTATATATAGAAAAAATCGGATAAATTAGCATGTGTCGCGATAGTAGAGAGTAGCGCGCTCGAATGATAGAGCTTGTAGTGCAGCCCATTTAGTCTAACAATAGCTGTCGACGTACTTTTTTCCTTTAGTTACGCGATGGCAACTGTTGCTAAGCAAAGTGGTTCGCTAGAACCTCGAACGTCCGAGCGCGCCATCCAGTACCGCCGCGACACACGCTAATTCATCCCATTTATTCCATGCATAACTCCATCCATTTTAACGATTTTTGCAAAATGCTATTTGATCCTTTTCTTTATCTCAATCAGCTGTATGCCTCTATTGGCTATTTGAGTTAGCAAACATAATGCACATATATGAATTATACAGGATGTTCCATAACTTGCTACAAGAAATTCATGGAGATATAGAACGAATTAAGATAAACATATAACCTCATACCGTTTTGCGATATTCGCAATAATTATTGGATTATTAATTATAGAAATGTGACGAGTGAACGCACACAGCCATGCATGATTAGAGAAGAATATAGCTATCCGTATTATTGCGCGGTCCAGTCGATTCAGCAACTGTTGTTGGTATGTGATGAAGAGAAGGACAATGTGCCGCGCTGTTTGTCTTATCTTAACGGCGAGATGCCATTCCTAGATCTCGCCGCACGCCAGCTGAATCGATTGAATCGCGTTAAGCCCGAACAACTCTTTTAATATTATTTCGGCGTACGATCACTTATTAGACTTTTATGATTAATAACTCGATAATTATCGCGAATACTGCAAAACAGTACAAGACTTTTATATTTGTCTTAATCTGCCATATGTTCCCATGTTACGAATTCATTGTATCGACTTAAGAGATATTCTCTACATAACTCATGATATTAATATTGTCTGCATATGATCACACAAAATTGTACGAAATTTAATTTATATATATGTCAATACTGAGAAAAGGCTGGTATACAAATATGAATTATGTAAATGCTTGTTTTCGCAATTATGATCATTTTTAATTGATTTATATACCGACATAGGGATTATGAACACTTTGTCGATAAATATTTTATAAGAAAACGTTGAATTAATCGGTTTTATTTTTGATTTTTACGAATGATAACTATATAAACCAGTATAACCAGCATAACACTTGTACCAGCAGAAAAGAATGTTTACATACAATGGTTAGCAGTATGATTCTCGTAAATTCTTACCTTGCTTTCTCAAGATTTGTTCCACTTTTCTTGTATTCGTATTTAACTACACCGTTCCAAGGACGACGACTAACAGAGCCAATTGACAAGTTATAAGTCCCAGGAACTATTATTTTATCAAACTGCAAATCCAAAATCTGCGAGTGTTTGCAATAACGGTAGCCAGTTAATCTGTAGCTTTCAAGTGAGTTGATATTTACAACCTTTATCCGACTGTTGATATCCAATTCATAGGCGTGCAAACTTATGACTCTTATCGAATTTTCAATAATGAACGTGATATCACTTATACAGTCAACTACGTTCCAATTCGGATTCATTAGCGAAAATATTAGGATATTCATGTTATATCGAATTGGCCGAGAGTTAGAAACCAGTAAATCATTATAAGAGGAAACATCCGAGCAATGTTGCAGGTCTATGTCTAAAGATTGATCATGATCAGTAGCAATGTAGTCTGGCAGAACAGCGGCGCACATCGAAATGTAACTTAACAATAATATTAGGAATTCCATGTAAATATTTCTCAAAGCCATATATGTACCTAAATGGGGAATTTAATTTTTTGCAGAATATTAGTTAATGATACGTTTTTATGAGGTCATTTATGAGGTCATTGTTCCATAATATTGTTACTTAATGTTGATATTAATGTAAGAAGACTAATACAACGGATATAAGGATTCAATATCTCTTACCTATGTGGATATATGTTCTGTATTTGATATTTCCACTTCTGGTGCTCGTTGCCTACTACCGTACGTAGCATAAATACAGCTTCTGATATAGAGGTCCGTTTACTTGGCCGAGAGTTAGACACAAAAAATATAAACACAAATCACGCAACAATGTTACGTTTTGAAAAACACCTTGACGCTAGATTGATTACATATAAAGAATTTTGCTAGGTAATAGCATATTTAGTTAATATTGATATCCTGAACTGATATTAAACAATATGGAAAATATTATATTTCATATATTATTTCGGAAACTTTACTGAATTTAACAATTTTGTAAACTTTGACAAAACATCACAAAGATTGACAAGACAAATTGTTTTAAAAACTTTAAAGAGAATAAACTTTTTCATTTGTTCAGCATGATTTTAATGTCTATTTACAAGAAAAAAACGACAAACATAGTTAACTTTTGAAATAATCCGTATTATTTTCAACAAACTTCTCTCATCTTTCGGGCAGCTGGCGAATTCTATTTCGGTAAAAAGATTGTGATTTCACTCAATAATATCAATAATGCTTTTTCATCCCTGATTACGATTTTGTGAAGAAAGTCATTTTGTTTGAATTATAACAACTAGGACATTATCGTATCAGAGCGTCTCACAGTTTCCACAGGCATTCCACTACGTTCTGCATCAATAACATCAAAATGGTCACTTCGAAACCCACTTTGAAACCATTTTATAAATTTTGTGGATCACAGCATCTTCATCTAAACCGAAACAAATCATTTTGGCGGCTTCAGTAGCAATTTTTTTTAACCGGAGCACAAAAAATACAGTGCTTAATATACTCCTTCTGAGAAGACATGGTACAAATTACTATTTTATGAGTTTATTTCGCAAGTAGAGAAAAGTTATGGGGCGTTTGAAAGGGTAAAACTGATACTTCAAAATCCCAAAATAGTAGGAAATAATTTTAATTTATAACAGAATTATAACTGATTGAATGTAAAGATCAATCTCTTTTGTATGTCTAATACACTCATCGATCTCATTTGTATATCTAAGATATACTAAGTATGTAAATTAAATCAGTGCTTTTACATTTACTTGGTCTTAAATAATATTTTGAATTTAAAGATTTTTTACCGCCATAATATAGTTTTAGAAGGACGTTATTTATATTTATAAAATGCTATGTGACTCATCTGCATTTTTGAGATCAACATGATGTCAAAAATCAATTGTGTTCAAGACGGCTGTTGACAAGATGCATGCCCGTTAACAATAAAATAATTAATTGCTTTGCGCTCGACCTACGTCATAATATTTCATATTTCTACCACGGAAAGAACTGTCCTCCAAGGCAAATTAACTGAAAAATAAAACCAGAGTTAATTTGACAATCATATCCGCAATAACAAGCTGAATTAGACTTAAAGAAATTATTATTATATTTAAATCACAAAGAGGTTTTGAAAAGAAAGATAATATCATATTTATAGCCGATATTAGTAATTAACTATAATAGTATAATAATAGTATTATAATTGTTATGAACGTTTGTAACGTAATACAATTTTTCTGATATAAATTCTTGTTGGTATCGAACAATTTATATTTGGAAAATATTATGTTTTATATACCACTTCGCAAATTTCATGGAATGTAACAAATTTATAAATCATGATGAAACATATTGCGAAGATTAACAAGAAGAATTACTTTGAAAACTTATAAAATAGAATAAATTTATTACTTATTTACTATAAATATGTCACTTATTAAATTGAGAAATAAAAAAAGTTTGATATGATAAAATTTGATATATTAATATTAAAATTAGTATTTTATAGGAAAATGAATAGAATTTATCGAGATCAGCAAATTCAATAACCTATACTTTTATTGGCTAATTCAGTAGGCTATATTTTATTTATTTATCCTTGAGACATCTTACAGAAGATAGTGCCTGGATTCTTAAGCTATTTGAGATTAACGGATATATGTAGTGGACACTTATGAAAGATTTATATTGTATTGGGTGAGTGCAAAAGTTCGTGCGGAGTTTCAATAGATGGAGTTATAAGCGTCGTAAAGTGTTGTCATTAATACTTCCATCTACATATTATATAACGTTGGAAAGGTGACGTCTTCAGCTGTTATTAAAAAAAAAATCATTTGTTTTCATACAAACTGCTTCGAGAAATATCACTTTAAAAATGAGTATCGATAAGGTGCATTTACGGCATGTTATGCTTTACGAGTTTCGGAAGGGAATAAACGTTGCCGCAACCATAAAAAACATTCAGGATGTTTATCAGGATGAAGCACCAGCTAAACGAACTGTGGAAAAATGGTTTGCTAAATTTCGGCGCGGAGAATTTAACCTTGAAGACGAGCCACGCTCTGGTCGACCTTTTGACATTGATGACGATGTTTTGCGTACTTTAGTGCTCAATAATCCGCGAATTTCAACAGAAGAAGTTGCTACAGCACTAAACGTTGACCGATCAACCGCTTTTCGGCGTTTAAAAAAGATGGGATTCGATTTGAAGCTCGATATATGGGTGCCCCATTTGCTGACCGAGAAGAACAAAATCAAGCGAATTTCTGTAGCCGTTTCTTTACTCGGGCGGCTCAATAACGAGTCGTTTTTGGATCGACTAGTGACGGGCGATGAGAAATGGGTCCTCTACAACAATGTTCAGCGCAAACGGACATGGAAACAATCAGGTGAGCATGGTGACGCAATGCCAAATGCCAGTTTGCACCCGATGAAGGTGATGCTCTCTGTTTGGTGGGATTGCAAGGGCATAATCTATTTCGAGCTTCTCCCCGCTGGCGAAACGATTGATTCGGACAAGTACTGTCGCCAATTAACCAATCTGAATCGAGAAATAAAAGAGAAACGTCCGATTTTGTCAAGTCGCAAGCGAATCGTCTTTCATCACGACAACGCCAGACCACACGTTTCGAAAAAGACGCTGCGCAAACTGAAGAGCCTGAAATGGGATGTCTTAACGCATCCACCGTATTCTCCTGATATCGCACCATCTGACTATCACTTGTTCCGGTCATTGCAAAATTATTTAAATGGAAAAAACTTTGACTCTTTGGAGGCCTTAAAAAACGGCGTCTCTTCGTTCTTCGAATCTAAACCGCGCAGTTTTTATGATCGAGGCATCCATATGCTGCCAGAACGTTGGGAAAAGATTATAGAAAACGATGGAGAATATATCATTGATTGAATAAAGATTTTTGTTTGCCTAATCACTGTGTGACTTTTACTCACAAACTCCGCACGAACTTTTGCACTCACCCACAATATTACAATATTTAGCAATCTGAAATTATTTCTAATTCTGCATTACAATTAATGAGGTCAAATATATACATAAAGTTTTCACTTAAAATATTTACAATAAATAAATATCCAGGAAACTCCAGAAATTAAATATCACAGTATTATTTGGGATACTTCCAGGTTATCCTAGTGTAACGGTCGAACTCCGCTGTTCGGTCGTTGCTACGCGTTTCGCGCGGATAGTGCTCGTCGGAGTCCGAGTTCGAGGAGGAGTAAAGCAGCGAGACACTTGAAAATGGTAATAGAAATAACTTAGCTTTATTCTATGCTTAATGAGATACGAGAGTTCGGCCCCGAAGGCGCTGTCGCGGGTCGCGTCTATTAGGCGCGCCGGTACGGTACGGTGCGGTGTGGGGAGCGGTACAAGCGCGCGTACGGACGGATAGGCCGCGCGGAAGGCGGGGCCTATTGCGCGACGCGTGTAGACGGTAACGACAGTAACGGCGCGGTGATCGGTCTCGCTTCGCGACGCGGGGCGTCTCGGACAATTATCGCCCAATACTCGTCTCGCAATCGCTCGCGTATACTACATGGGCTGAAAAGTCTTTGGCCTGACATATAGATGGCGCCACAAACTAAAAATCCTTATATTTCCTATAGAGTACCAACCTTAACTTAGATGCTATAAAAATTTCATGATATTTCGTTGACTCGTGTACAAGTTATAGCTTTCGAAGTGACGTTACCTCTGAATTTATCTTTACCATGGAAAAAAAGTGAATTTCGTGTTTTGATTAAACATTGCTTCCTGATGGGAAAAACACTGTTGAAGCAAAGGCATGGCTTGATAAATGTTACGGCACATCTGCCCCACCGAATTCAACCATCAAATATTGGTTTGCTGAGTTTCGTCGTAACCGTACGAGCACAAATGATGCACCACGTTCAGGAAGGCCAAATGAGGCAGTTACTCCAGAAAACATCCAGAAAATCAGTGAAATCGTGTTGAATGACCGCAAAATGAAATTGAGTGAGCTAGCTAACATCATAGGCATCTCAAAGGAACGCGTTGGTCATATCATTCATGAACATTTACATATGAAAAAGCTTTGCGCGCGTTGGGTGCCGCGTTTTTTGACAATTGAGCAAAAAGCGGAACGTGTTCGACTTTCAAAGCAAAATCTGGCCCTGTTTAACCGCAATAAGAAGGAGTTTTTGCGTCGATTTGTCACAATGGATGAAACATGGATCCATCACTACACACCGGAGCCCAATCGGCAGTCAGCGGAGTGGTTATTGCCTGGTGAAAGCCGTCCGAAGCGCCCGAAGACACAACAATCAGCCGGCAAGGTTTTGGCCAGTATTTTTTGGGATGCGCATAACATAATATTCATTGATTATCTTGAACATGGTAAAATTATCAATAAAGAATATTACTGTACATTACTGAATCGATTGGACGACGAGGTCAAGGTCAAACGGCCACATTTGGCAACGAAAAAAATTTTGTTTCACCAAGACAATGCTCCAGCTCACTCGGCTCGCGATAAGACCGATAAATTAAAGAAATTGCGCTATGAATTGGTCCCGCATCCCCCGTATTCTCCAGACCTGGCCCCCAGCGACTATTTCCTTTTTCCCCGACTGAAGCAGTGGCTCGCTGGTAAAAGATTTTACTGGAATGAGGAGGTCAAGTTGGAAACAAATGCCTATTTTGAGGGACTTGACACCGAGCACTATAAGACCGGCATCGAAATGTTAGCGGACCGTTACACTAAGTGCATTACTCTAAATGGAGATTACGTCGAGGAATAAAATACTTTTTTCATTAAAAAAATCGTTTTTTCATTGTTAAGCCAAAGACTTTTCAGCCCATGTGGTAGATGGTCGCCGGACCGGAGATTTCGACTCCCGGTCGAACGTACGCACGCAAGTCGCGGAAGACGCGAAATGATTTCGTCCGTCGGGGCCGAGGACTCTCGACAGAGAAGGCGTACGCACCTTCCCTTTTCCCTACGTTCGCGGAGGAAAGCGACCAAGTGCTGAGGACACTCAGCGGAGACGGCGGACATACCGTCCCGTGTTCTTGGTCGCTAGACGGATCGCCTAAAGGCTGAGTACGCTCAGCGGAGTTCGCCGACGGACGAACCCCTGACTCAAGGCGGCGGTTAAAGGCGAGAGACTGTCGAGTACGCTTGACTGAGCACGCGCACGCACGAGCCCAGGAAGACGGAAGACGACCAAGTATCGCGTACGCTCGATCGAGACTGCGAACGCATAATCCCGCGTTCTTAGTTGCCGGTCGAGTAATCGGAAAGCGGAAGGCAGAGCGAAACGGTCCGGATATTCTCTCTTTCGGCATAAGGCGTCTAGATCGAATCTACGCGGTACGGTTCGGTCTGATGTCTAGAAGCTCGATCGCCGCCGTTTTATGGTTGTTCGCGCTACGATTGATACGGCGGCGATCGAACGGCGCGCCTATCGGCGCGAGGCATGGCGACGGCGCGTGATCGCGGCCGCGCGCGCTAGCGGCAGCGTGTGATCGCCGCGGCGCGCGATAGCGGCGGCGCGAAATAGCGGCGCGCGATCGTCTTCGATCGATTAAGGTTGGCGCAAAGCGCCGTTCTTCGGCCCGACAGGTGGCCGGTCGGGCCGGTAGTAACGAGGTGCATTTGCGCCTCGTTACATCACCCCCCGGCAGAGGGGTCGTCCGGTAGGCGGCGGCTGGACCGGAGCTGGCCGTCCGCGTGGAATCGCAGCATCCAGCGCCCCTCTGGTGTTCGGAGGCGATAGCGGCGGTTGATGTGGACGGCAGAGTGGGGAATGAACTTGTGGACGCCGGGCTCCACTTCGACGAGGACCGGCGGCGGTGGCCTCGGGCCGACCGGTCGGAGTATTTTCGACGGTCGGACGGGAGTCGGACCCGAGGGTGGTCGCGTCGTCGGGAGGAGAGGCGTCCCTGCTGCTCGTTGTGGCGGCGGCGGCGTCCGTTGCGGCGGTGGTGGCGGCCGTTGTGGCGGTGGTGGCGGCCGTTGCGGCGGTGGCCGTTGCTGCGGCGGCGGTCGTTGCGGCGGCGGAGTCGTCGGCGGTCGCGTGGGGCGGGTGGTAGCCCTTGTGGTTGCTGCCAGCGTCTTTGTCTGGCGTCCTCGGCGCCCGGGTGCAGCGGAGGGGCAGCGGAGCCGTTAGCAACATCGCTTTACGGCGCTGCGTCGTGTCTGACTGCTGAATCCTTGTCCCCCTCGCTGGCACTTAGGGGTTCGGCGGCCTTGGCGACGGCGGCGGTGGGCTCGCTGGTGGTAGCGGCGGTGACGTCGTCAGTGACGTTGGCGGTGACGTCGGCGATGGCGTCGCTGGTGGTGGCGACGTCGACGGCGGCGAGGCGGCCGGGGCTCTCTCCTCGTCGTCGGAGAGGGCGAGATCCGTCCAAAGGACGGTGAGATCCTCGATTTCTATGCGAGACTCGCTCATGAGAACCCTTGTGCTTCTCCTCAGCTTGCCAAAAACTCTCGGCTTATCACGGGGCGATAGCTCGAGAAGAGCTATGCTGTGCTTCGCTACGAAACAAATAAACGTTAAAAAGAATACTTATGTTAATGTTGAACACAATACTTAATACTATTATTAATGATATGTAAATGTTTAATATCACACACTTTCACTGTTATTGAACATACCTGATGCCATGTCAACCAATCTTTAAAAATGTTCATACCTAACGCTGTTCTAAATTTTTGGACTCCAACTTTCCTCTTCTCGATTCCACTGGTTGATGATTGGTCCAATTGATCCATTTTCACAGCACTTAATATGTTATTTAACAAAAAATGAACACTATGATTGCACTATCACTATTCTTATACACTGCATATAAACACTAAGTAATACTTATATTACATTAATTAATGATATTAAGAAAATATAATGTTGATGTAACATAACATAAATATAACATATTTAATGTTTACTAGGTAACCTAACCCTAAACCACGTACTCGCGGAAGAAATGCGAGAGAACAATTACGGAAAACACAGATATTTTGCGCGGGCCCCTCCATGCCTCCTCTGTCATGCGTTTTAAACCGTCAGTGGTTTTTGACATATATGTAGCTCTACGTCACTTCAGGCATGCGTTGTAAGCATGGGAAATTCTTTGGATCCCCCAGCACTGCTTCTGGGTTTCTTTTAGTAGTTCTACAATAGTTCCAATGCATTAGGTCGGTTTTGTCGCGGGTGCCGGCCTTTAACTATTTTTTAATAATTTTTTAAACTGAGCGCCAGCACCGCATCACAAGAGTAAAGTATCAGTTTGCTGGCAGTTCCAGCCGACTTCTGGGTTTCTTTTAGTAGTTCTACAATAGTTCCAACGCTTTAGGTAGGTCCCGTCGCGGGTGCCGGCCTTTAATTATTTTTTAATAATTTTTGAAACTGAGCGTCAGCACCGCACCACAAGAGTAAAGTATCAGTTTGCTGGTAATTTTAGCCAACATTTTATATATTCCTGCAGTTTTGCAATTCTTACGCTTTAGGTGATGATATAAAAAAAATATTTTATATAAAAGTTGAACAGTTTCGAGAAGGACGTACAATGATGATCTTGGTTTGACTTTGACGTCTATATGTGTTAAGTCGACGTCTATGTATTAGTAAGTAACCAGATTTACGGACCCCATTGCCACGGGTTTTTTGTACGGGGTTTTTCCTTCCCCGCGGCACGGGTGTCTGGCCTCTACGACACCCGTGTCACGAGCCCGTAATTGACACGCCCGGGAATTGATCTTGGAGGGCTCCTTCTCCGGCTAAGGTGACTGAGGCCTGGGTCGGCCTCAGTCTATCGAGTCCGGCTTGCCTGACTTTTTGTAGTGGGTTGTCCTCCCCTCGTCTGGTGTATGCTGTCATACTTTCGGGCCCAGATGCTCAGGTTTTTACATTGGGTTTTCCTTCCCCTCGTTGGGTGTCCGACATCGCCAGAGTGACAGCAGGTCACCTGACGACATCAGACTTGCGGGCCCCATCGCCACGGGTTTGATTACGAGGTTTTCCTTCTTCGGGTCCAGTTGCCTCCCTCGTGGATCACCTCTTGCGAGTTTACTCCTCCGAGGTTACTCATCGAGCTTGGACGCCCAGGTTTTTGATACGGAGTTTTTCTTCCCCGTGTCTGGTTGCTTACCTCAGCTAGGCTAACGAGCCCGAACGCTCGGGTTTTTGCCTTGGGTTTTCCTTCCCAGAGTCCGGATTCCTGCATGTAAGGCCAGACTAACAAGCTCGGACGCTCATGCTGTAGAGCTCGGATGCCCGTTCTTAGGTTCCACGAGCTGCCCCGGTTCCGCCTGGATACGGGCCTCCCCAGAGCAGCCTCCCAGTCACTGTCTTGTCACCAGGAGACAGCTCCTCCTGGGACTAATGTCGGACGCTCTTAGTCCGGTCCCTCCGTACAAGTCCTCCAGCTGGCGTCCTGCCATAGGGATCCTCAAGCCTCCCCACCACGACAAAGTGGCGACACGGGGAGGAGACATATTATAACCAAAAGCATGGTGCGCGTTACAATATATATACTAGGTGCGCAACTAAGTTTCCGGGTTTCACACATGGATGACGCTAACGACACATGTAGTCGACATACATGTCTGAAGTTGTGTTTTTTATAGCTTGGACATCTGTTAACAATAAACAGTCGTAATACCAACACATATCGCAACGCAAAAATATTTTTTCTAACAACGATGATGTCGAGTTTTGTGCCAAATAAACAGCATTTGCGGGAAGTTTTGCTTTTCTGCTTTAATTTGAAAAAATGTGCAACTGAAGCACATCGTTTGCTTGAGGAGGCCTACAGCGAACATGCACCATCGAAAACTACCTGTGAAGATTGATTTAAACGCTTCAGAAGTGGCAATTTCGACACTAAGGACAAGGAGCCCTCCGGACCAAAAACAATTGAGAACGCCGATCTGCAAGCGTTATTGGATGAAGATGATACGCAAATACAAGATCAACTTGCGGAGGCATTAAACATGACTCGCCAAGGAAGTTCCAAACGTTTACATGCCATGGGAAAAATTCAAAAAGAAGGAAAATGGATGCTGCATAAGTTGACTGAGAGACAGATGGAAAATCGAAGAGCTACTTCCGAAATTTTGCTTTTGCAGCATGAAAGAAAGAGTTTCCTGCATCGAATTGTTACTGGCGATGAGAAGTGGATATATTTCGAGAATCCCACACGCAAAAAATCGTGGCTTTCACCTGGCGGAGCATCAACATCAACGGCACGGCCAAATCGCTTCGGAAAGAAGACAATGCTCTGCGTTTAGTGGGACCAGAAGGGAATCCTGTACTGTGAGTTGTTGAAACCGGACGAAACTGACAATAGGCATCGCTACCGACAACAACTGATCAATTTGAACCATGCATTGCTCGGAAAACGGCCAGAATGGGACACGAGACACGAACGAGTGATATTGCAGCACGACAACGCTCCGTATCATTGCACTTCTATCGTCCAGAATACTGTCAAAACGCTGAAATGGGATCTGCTACCGCACTTGCCATATTCGCCAGACCTGGCCCCTTCCTATCATCACTTGTTCCGGTCGATGGCGCATGGCTTGGCTGGGCAACACTTGGTTAATTTCGAAGAAGTGCAAAATTAGTTGGATGAATGGTTTCGGTTCAAAGACGCGTCGTTTTATCGTCGCGGTATTCATGTATTGCCAGAAAGATGGCAAAAATGTGTAGCTAGCGAGGGATGATACTTTGAATAAACCATTTTTGTATTTCTCTGGAAATTTTCCATTTTTCATTAATCAAAAACACCCGGAAACTTAGTTGCGTACCTAGTATATTATATATTGGGTATGGGAATAAGTTTTAATCGTTTTTTATGTAGACAAAAAACATAGTTTGAATATGAAAATATTAAATGATTTTATTCAAAATATTTTCCATCTGAAGCGACAACTTTCGTCCACCTTTCGGGCAATAAACGAATTCCTCGAGTGAAGAATTCTATTTCTTTCGAGGCGATCCAGTCATCGACCCATTTTTGTATGCTGTCATATGAGGTGAAGCGCTCTCCAGTAAGTGCCGACTGCATCGACCGGAACAAATGATAGTCTGAAGGGGCAATGTCTGGTGAATACGGCGGGTGGAGTAAGACCTCCCATTTCACCCCTTCTAGGTATGTCCGGACGGGTTGACCAACATGTGGCCTAGCGTTATCGTGCTGCAAAATCAGCTTCTCGTGTCTATCGCGCCATTCCAGCCGTTTTTCTTGAATAGCTTGTTTCAAGCGCATTAGTTGAAGTCGGTAACGTTGGGAATTGATAGTTTCGGACGGTTTCAGCAGCTCATAGTTGACTACACCCCGCATATCCCACCAGATACAGAGCATGACCTTTGACCCGTGAATATTGCGCTTTGGCGTTGATGGACCTGGTTCACCTGGCTTCACCCATGCTAGTTTGCGTTTAGGATTGTCGTAGTGAATCCATTTTTCATCGCCAGTGATGATCCGATGCAAAAAACTCTTTCTTTCTTGTCGTTGAAGCAACATTTCGCACGTGACTAAGCGCCTTTCAATGTCCCTTTCTTTCAACTCGTGTGGTACCCAATTTCCTGCCTTCTGAACCATTCCCAGCGCATGTAGGCGTTTCCCAACGGTGGATCGATCAACATCCAATGCAGACAATTCTTCAAGTGTCTGACATGGATCAATATCAAGAAATTTCTCAAGTTCCTCATTTTGGAACATTTTTGGGGCACCATCGCGTTCTTTGTCGTTGACATCGAAATCACCACTTTTGAAGCGTTGGAATCAATATCTGCAAGTTGGCTCCGATGGAGCATGGTCGCCGTAAACATCCACAAGCAAACGGCACGTTTCCGCAGCACTTTTCTTCAAAAGATAGTAGTGGAGAAGAACTTCCCGCAAATGCTGCTTTTTTGGAACAAATTCCGACATTTTCGATGCGATATGAATACTTGCTATTTGCACTCCAAACAAAAGTCTTATACTGCGTTTAACAGCTTACATATATACTTTTTAAATCCATGTATCGAAAGGTTAGAAAAGATGCAAGCGATACTATTAATGCCATCTATGGGGAAACAATTAAAACTTATTCCCGTACCCAATATATTAATAATATATATATAAATAATATATATATATATATTAATATTATATATATTAATAATATATATATATTAATTTTTATTCTCACTTAAACTAAATATAATAGTAGAATATTAAATTATCTAAATCACATGAATAGATAAATATGTCAAAATTCTGCAAAAATATATTATGTATAGTGATTTAGTATAAATATAAACTTTTAATAACATGTTATTTACGAGTTTTAATAACATGTTGTTTATATTCCTGTTATATAATTATAATGTCTATGAATAGAAAATTACAACTAACGTCTATGCAACATACGTGTTATATTGAGTGTTCCCTTTTACTACTATCAGGTAAAAGTTAAAGATTTGTATTTGCTGAAGGGTTACAAAACATATGTTTATCTAACCTTTTTTCATCCTCACAGTGAGTAGAATGTGCTCTTAAAGTTTGGTCACCTATTTCTGAAACACCTTATATAATAATATCTGAGTTCGATAGAGCAGGTGTCTAAAGTGCTTCGAAAGGGTTTCTTTGTTTTAATAAGTAAATTACCGTAAAA